TTTTCAACACAAGTTTGCAAATGGCTGCCGTAAGGACATGACGGAGCCCGATGTTTGAGTTCGGAATCAGGTTCAGAAAAAATCGATAATCGAAAAAATTCTGCTTACAGAAGGTATGATCGCATTTCAACCAAATTTGACACCCTCTTAGAGTCTACCATTAGAAGTGTTGTCCAGAAGTTTCATGACCACGGACCCCTAACCAGCGCGGAAAATCGATAAAACCCAAAAACCGATACGCCCAGATTGCGTCTGAACCGCATGTCGGTTTTTAGCGAAAACCGAGCGGATTTATGAAGAGGCCATTGGGAGTCAACATTTGAAGTTTCAACTCTGAGCACCCCCCCCAAACAGAGTGCAAATAGACAATCGGTCAACCCTTAAAAATATTTTTTACGGTTTTTTAAAGCTGATCGTATTGTGTTTATTTTGTTTAGTTCTTTTTTCGTAACAGATTTAATGTTTACTATAGAGCTTAGAAAAAAAGTTGGCAGTGTGAGATAGGCAAGAAGTAAGGCATGTAACAACATCAGCACGGCAAAAGGCACTCCTCTAAAAGGCAAGGAAGGGCAAAAATATTTTAAGTCAAGTGATAGCGATTGGTGTATGAGTCGTACTATTTTTTAATCAAGCACGGCAACGCCGAGCCCATGCTGCTAATATATATATATATATATATATATATATATATATATATATATATATATATATATATATATATATATATATACATACAGTCTCGAAGTAGGACTTTTAGAGTCTACGTGCTTGTAACTGTGACTTCTACAAGCGGTTACCTCACACTATTACTCTACCTCCAACTCAATCACAATCTCTGCTCAATCTCCCTATCTCTATCAATCTCCCTATCTCTCCCTATATTCTGACTGACTCAGGGTATTTAACGGCAGCAGTCCAAGTAATACTTTGGTCGAGTCTACTTATATGAAAAAGGGGTGGACCCCATAACATATATGGAAACAACAAAGGACTGGTGATACAATGAGTCAAACTACTCGAAAACAGAAATAAAAAATATTCAATCTTGAAAGAAGGTTGTAGATAAAAACGAAATTTACATCAAGTAGATTCTGTAGAAAACCAAAACAGAATCCAAGAACCAACTTTTGCAGCAAACATTTTAAAAAGAAAGCCAAGGATAAAGCTCTTGAACCCAAGGAAACAACGCTGGCAACACAAACCATTGCATGTCCAAAACGTTCTAATAAAACTGATGTTGATAAAGTTAGTACCCAACGATGGTTACAAGCATCTGAATTAAAGGCAGAAACGGAAATCTTGATTGATTTGGTTTTGGTTTGGTTTGGTTTTGGTTTGGTTTGGTTTGCTTTGGTTTGTTTTACGACACATCAACCTCAACAGGTTATTTAATGCCGACAAAATCTTTATTGCTGGTAATGCTTTTCTTCAAAAATCTATTTCTGGGAATATTTTTCCTTGAAGAAATCTATAGCTGGTAATATTTTTTTCCAAAGAATGTATAGCTGTTTGTATTGCTGGTAATTTTTTAAAGTATTGCTGATAATAATTTTTCTTTCAACAATTATTACTGGTAATAATTTTTTATTACAAAGTAATTCTGGTATTAAAACTTATTTTTACACAAGTTTGGGTGTTAACTATTTGCCCATAGCTGGGACCCTAACAGATGCTATCACCCCGGATCAGGGTGGACCTGGGATCACCAGCAATTAAGAGGTGGTTCCACGCTCCTCAAAACCTCCTGATCAGAGGCCTTGTTGCTGGACGTAGTTTATCGTCTTACCCAGGATGAGGATGTTGTTTATCGTCATACCCAGGGCGGTGTTGGTTTTCTGGTTGAGACACAGGATATAAGCATGCAAGAAAATAAATAAATAATAACAGAAATTAAATAAATAATAATAATATTTATTATTATTATTGTTGTTGTTATTAGATAAACATGAAGGCATTGAGATTATATAATCATATATTGAGACATACATATGTGTGTGTTTGTGTGTGTGCGCGTGTATGTGTGCGTGCGTGTGTGTGTCTTTACAATTGTCTACTGAAAGTAACCTGATTCGTTCATCTCTGTATTGATGATAGGATGATGAAAAGTGTGTGTGTTTTTTTTTCGCAACCAAGAATCCATTCCAAAGCAAAATTAAAACGATCTCATCATTTAACAAAAGCGATTTGTGTACCCCCAACTTTGTATTATTCTGTTTGAAACGCTTGTTTAACTGCACATTATGTTCCAGCACGTCATCTTTATAATGAGATACCATATCAACCTTCGTCTAATTTGCAGCGCTAATGACGAAAGGAAGGTGTAAAACGCCAATAAATAAATAAAGCACAAAACATCAAACAGGTCCAGGCGTTGGAAGTCGAAGTAACGACTTTTGGTGTTAAAGAGAGAAATGACAGCTGAAACACTTGTTACCATAAAAAGGTTAATTCTGGACCGGGCAATTCTCTCATCAATTCAGTGTTTCGTAATATTAAGATTATTATTGACTCCTGTCAAGGATGATTATGACGTTCATAGAATTTTCGTGTTGCTGTCAAGTCCGCTAAGCTAATTAGAAGCAAATATTAGATGTGAGCAAACGTTTTCATTCGTTTTAAATGATAACCAGAGGTTGTATTTTCCTGAATGCCATCTCCCTTCAGAATGTAGTCGGTCATGGCTCTCCACAGAGTCCGCCAGATTATATTTCGACATCAATTTTACCTAATCCCTTATTCAGGTTCTTGATAGGCTCCAGAAGCGGATATGCAATATGGTTGGCCCTGCCCTGGCGTCTCGTCTACAGTCACTTTCTCACAGACGCACCGTCGCCTCCCTCTGTCTGTTCTACAAATACTTTCATGGAAATTGCTCCGAGGAACTGCATTCGCTGGTTCCCAAACTTCATGAGTTCAAGCGCTCTACGAGGCTGGCATCCCGCTCTCACCCCTTCACTGTCGAAACTCCTAAATGTAGCCGTCTCTTCTACTCTAATAGCTTCATGTCTCGCACCTCTCGCCTGTGGAACTCTCTTCCCTTCTCCTGTTTCCCTGTGAGCTATAATCTCCAGCTATTCAAGTGTAATGTCAATCGACATCTCCAGTTGCCTTGATCTATCTACTACCCTCATCCTTTCTTCTATCACTCCTATCTGATCTTCCTGTTTTCTGTAACCCCTTGCGTCCTAGTGGCTTCCCGCCTTGCTTGGGGTGAAATGCTTAAAAAAAAAAATCTTCCGCTTTATCCGCTGAAACAGCAGCTCCCTTAGAATCAACGAAGTTAAGCAACAACGTGCCTAGTAAATACCTAGAAGGGTGACTGCTTGGGAATACCAGCGACAGCAAGTTTTATGCTTACATCGTAATGCGGAGGCAATGAATATTGAAATATGATCTTTTACGTGACATTTTCACTTCTTAAGTTGATTTGCGATATATCTTCACGTCAATTTTACCTAAACGTTTATTTAGTTTACTCTTCGGCGTTATCCGTTGAAACAGCAATTCCTATACAATCAACGAAGTTAAGCAACGACGTGCCTGGTTAGTACTTAGAGGGGTGACCACTTGTGAATACCAGCTTCTGCAAGCTTTATGCTTACATCGATAATGCGGAGGCAATGAGATTGAAATAAGTTTCATGTTTTACCTAACATGGCTATGCGCGATTACGGCCCTCCACATTTTCCATTGTTAAGTTGTTCTACGATATATTTCCACATCAATTTTACCTAATCCTTTACTCTGTCTACTCCTCCACCTTATCCGTTGAAATATCAGTTCCCGCACAATCAACGCAGTTAAGCAACGACGTGCCTGGTTAGTACTTAGAGGGGTGACCACTTGTGAATACCAGCTTCTGCAAGCTTTATGCTGACATCGGTAATGCGTAGGCAATGAAGATTAAAATAAGATTTATCTTTTACGTGACATGGGTATCGGCGATTACGGCCCTCCACGTTTTCAATTCTTAAGTTGCTCTACGATATATTTCCACATCAATTTTACCTAATCCTATTTTCAGGGTTACTTTTCACCTTATCCGTTGAAATATCAGTTCCCGTAGTATCAACGAAGTTAAGCAACGACGTGTCTGGTTAGTACTTAGAGGGGTGACTGCTTGTGAATACCTGCTTCTGCAAGCTTTATGTTTACATCGTAATGCGGAGGCAATGAAGATTGAAATTTTACGTGACATGGGTATGAGCGATTATGGCCCTCCACGTTTTCCATTTCCGTTGCTTTGCGATATATCTCCAGTTCAATTTTACCTAATCCTTTATTCAGTTTACTCTTCGGCGCTGTCCGTTGAAACAGCAGTGCCCATAAAATCAACAAAGTTAAGCAACGACGTGTCAGGTAATTACCAAGATGGGTGACCGCTTGGGAATTCCAAGTTCTGAAAGTTTAGATGTACGGATTGATAACGCCTCGGAATTGTTAATCGTAAAGCCGTGTTCCAATTTTCGCTGGGTTCGTTATATTTAATTAGACGGAATATAACTTTTGGAAAGGTATGAATCCACCTATTCTCCCTACAGCTATGGGTTAATTAATAAGACTTGTATCGTTAATACCATTGTTATCTCCCAGATATCTTATGGTTTTTAAATTACCAGCAAATGGTTGATAAGCCGTAGAAACCGAAGGAATCTCCCTTCTCCGTTATCGTTTGATGTTCCATCATTTTTATATTTAATGTTCACCCTGTACAAGAGCCACTCAAGGTAGAGGGTTATTTTACTATAATTATGGTGGATGAGGCCTGTGATCTAAATAAAAGAGGAGGCTGTAAGAAGTAACGAGTCTGAGAATAATAATGAATTATAACGAATGACCTATGACCTGGTGAGATTAATTGCATAGTGTTTTGGAAGCAGTCTCTCGGTTTCACAATGTACCATTTTTCTTGTAAAAAAAAAACTCAGTGGAAATTTATGCTTACATCGATAATGCGGAAGCTATGAGATGGATATAAGTTTTATGCGTTACGTGACATTCGGTTCTTGTAAGATCATAGAAGTTAAGTAACGTCGAGCCTGGTCAGTACTTAGATGGGTGACCACTCGGGAATACCAGATGTTGCAAGTTTGGATGCGCGGGTGGTGTAATGGATAATGGCCGATATTCGTTTTTTTTTCGTTCACTTATGATCACTGAAGTTAAGTAACATCGAGCCTGGTCAGTACCTAGATGGGTGACCACTTTTATAAAGTATCTGTTAATGGAAAAAGGCGTAACGGGAAGTGGATTCATGCCTACTTTCTTATAAATTTGATGTACATTGATCCTTATTTTCCGTTTAAACAATTATTCTTATTTCATGGGTGACAGAACTGGGGACAATTTAAAAAATAAAATTAATACAGTATAAAAATGGGAAAATAGAAATAAGAATTAGACATACCTTCAACATTTGAAGAGTTAGAGAAACATAATAGCTAATTAAAAAAGTAAAAGCTATATTATTATTATATATGCATATATATATATATATATATATATATATATATATATATATAAACCGGCAAAACTTAAATCTGAGTTCAACGAAAATCGTTCTCTGTGCCTATTTTTTCTAGGGCTTTTGAATGAGATGTGAATCACTGAAAGCGGACCAGTTGGAACGGGGGAATTGCTTGGGCACACACACGCACAAACACACGCACACATACACTGTACTTCATATATATATATATATATATATATATATATATATATATATGAAGAAATAGTCTTAAGATGTGCTATATTTATGGGATAAAGTGCTCAATATCAGAGATAGAGCGTGTGTAAATATATAAAAGTGAACATAAGTCAACACTTAGAGGCGACAGGCTGTTTCATGCTAGATGCAATCCTTAGGCCACGAGTGCTGCTATTTTTCTCGGCTATACACACACACACACACATATATATATATATATATATATATATATATATATATATATATATATATATATATATATATATATTATTATTTTTTAGTGGATACACATATTCCAGTAGACGCGACATTTATTTTCAAGCAGTATTGTAATGATTGATACTAGCATTCCCAAAAATTTGTTTACATGCAAAGTCCTTTTCTTCGATATAGGCGGTTTTAATCCCAGCCTGTATTATAACCTGAAGCGTTTGAGGAATTTCTGCCGATTATGGCGAAACAGCCAACGATTTTCCTTGTCTTCAGACGTCAGTTCTAAAGAAAATGTTTTGTGAATGTTGGCATGAGATATGTCTACTGAAAAAACAAAAACCGAATCCCTCAATCTACATTTAGCAAGTTGCAGATTACACAAATCATCTTTAGAAAGTAGGATGTTTTGGACACAAATGGTGCAACCATAAAATTTACCAAAAACAAAAAGGACTGTAAAAGTGCCTAAATATTCCCTTCTCGTGTTAGAAGATAAGAACGTTCGTGAAGCATAAAATGGTATTTATCGTTCTAAAAGATCCCTATTGAGATTACAAAGCCTTCTTCTACAAAATATAAGCAAAACGTCGGTCCATCAGGGTAATACGCAACTGTCTAACAAACTCTGATATTTACAGCTGATAACGGTAAAGGACATTTGAAAAAATGGAGATGATGCTTTTTAAAGCAATATGATGAAATAATATTACTTAAATATTAATAACTAGAAGCCATTCCTAGCTGGTCGATCAGAAAAAGCGTTCAATTAGAATTGAGCAAAAACAGCATCATGTTTAGATGTAACAGAGTCTATCTTCTTCAATAGCTTTAAAGTACTTTCATTAAAAAAACATTTTGAACCAATGCAGTTACTGATATAACAGAAGTAGTCTGTATTTATTCAATCAAAGTTAGCCGAGGACATGAAGTGGTAAAGCAGGCAACATAAACCCACTTCAGACCCCAATTATTTTGAAGTTTTTGAAATTTAATTTGTCAGTCTGCTACCAGGGGTGTAAATGAGGATACATTTATAAAGCTTAAGTTTGATGAAAATTGGTTGAAAGATCAACGAAAAAATAAGAAAGACACCAGTAAAAATCGCTATTTACTTGGGTTTTCACTATATCGGGGGACTAAATTTTCAAGTTAAATGACTGTTAAACAATCAACTTATTGTTGGCTACAATTGAATGAAGTTTGTGTTAGATTGCTTGAAAATTGAGGGAGATTTGGTTTAAAATTTGTGATGAAATCGATTTTTGTTGGAATAGATTTTTGGTTTTTCGCTAAACGCAGTAGCGTAGAAATGAAAATAAATGATGTATCGTTGTGCTCGTCATGATGTAAGTAACCTACATACCGAGTTTGAACGAAATTGGAGGAAAAAAGATGAATTTATGATTTTTTTTTGTACAATTTATGTAACAAGTTGGATGGATCTCCAGTGAAAATGTATGAAAGAGACAGACACAGACGTCCTCTGTTTATATATATATATATATATATATATATATATATATATATATATAAACATAGAAAAATTAACTTTAATAAGGTAAAAATCTATTTGGGTCACTGGCAGAATCATCATATAATGATGAGTTCACATCAAGTGCTCAAAGAGGTTGCCGTTCTGTTCAATACACTTTTCATATCTTGAAGAAATAGACCTACAAACGTCGAGTGTCATTTCCTCTGGTATTTGAGCACATTCTTCTTCAATTGCTACTCTCATTTCAGTAATTGGTTCGGGTTTCCTGCTGTAAACTTTGTCTTTTAGAAACCCCAACAAAAAGAAATCCAAGGGTGTCAAATCTGGTGATCTAGGTGGGTATTAAACTGTCCCTCTTCTTCCAATCCATCTGTTTTGAATATTCAATTCATGTATTTTGACTATAATGTATAAATTGAATAAGTTATAACGATTCTGGAAATTGTATACATTATTTTGAGACACCCTGTATATATATATATATATATATATACATATATATATATATATATATAAAAGAGAAACAGACAGAGAGAGAGAGAGATGACGGAAAATGGAGAATTCAAAGCTGACTTGCTATCGAAATTTCATCAAAAGTCTTCGTAAGTTTAACAAATACTGAAACGTTCCGTTTTCCGTTCTTAAGTATATTGGCTAGTAACATTCATGGAGTAATTGCGAGAGCTAACATAAAATCTGTGATTATGAAATTTTCCAAGCCAGATTTACGTGAGCTCACACAAGGGTGATAGAAAAGACAATGTATAACCTACCTCGAGATCTTGAGTCATTTCTACAAATATTTTCATGGCAACTGCTCTGACGTGTTTTTTTTATTGGTGCCCGACTACATGAATTTAAGCGCGCTAATAGATTGTCATCTAGTCCCACGGTGTTTACTCATTTCCCCACGAGTACGAGATGTGATGGATTAATGTGGGGACCCGAACGCGTGCATCCAGGCAGGGTCAAAAATCCCCCTCAGCTCCGGCAACCGTCGGTTGCGCTGGCCTTGGTGCGAGAACTGATCCCTCCCTCTTGTTCAATGGGAGGGCGCAGCCGCGGGCAGCTGTTCCCCAGGGCTGGGCACGTCTTCAGTATAATTTTTCCTCAGTTGCCCCTCTGTCCTTTGACAGAGTAGCTCCTGAGCGCACTCTGTTCAAGGACAGAGACGCATCTGAGAGATGAGAAATAATGCGAAAGCCCTCCAAGGAGGAATTTACACACTCTAGGTCCCATTGTTAGGCGTTGACTTTAAAGCCCATCCATATACATTTAACAAATTTCGCTATTTATCGTTTAATCGGATTAAAACGATGTTTATGTTGATGTAACTAGGAATGCGCACCATTTGACATCCTTTTTCTCCCATATATGTGTATATGTGTATATGTGTATATGAGAGGGAAATTTAAAATTTACCCGTGTTCTTGTCTAAAGATGTATCAGTGCGAAAGAGCGGACATTTTTTTTCACTTACTCTATATATCTATATTTTTTTTTAAAGATATCTGATTTTAAATGTTTATTAAAAGTTTGCCCCCACCATAGATTAATTGAATAAATGTTTATTCCTTATATTTGTATACATACTTGTTATATTATTAGTAGTATAAAAAACTTTTTCTTTTTTTTTTTACTTTACTAAATGAGTATTTTTAATCACTAGCTTAAACGCTGCCCGATAGGGCGGCATTTAAACTAGATCTTGCGGAAGGCTCTTGATTGGTCCTTCATCACAATATATAGATGCAATAATAAAATACAGAAGAAATCAAAATTTAGGTATTGCATTAATAATTAAAGTTATTTTTAAAAGTTCAACGATAATTCTTCTGTCGACACTTTATTTGAAGACAATTTGATGTACGTAGGTCCTTACTTTCCGTACAAACAATTATTTTTATTTCATGGGTGGTTTTCGTTTGATTTAGTAATTAATTTCGGTTAACCTTAAATTTATTTTCAAGTTATAAAAATAATGGTATAAAAAAGTTCGTCGCAAAAAATCACTTAAAAATAAATTCACCGAAGATAATCGCAGTAACGAAAATTTGGGAATTCAAAATTTCAGGATTGCAGGTCTAGATCCGGGTGGAATGTTTTTAATTTTCTCACAGAGTCGGTCTATAATTCTGACATGAGGTATTATGTCCCTTATGTTTCTGTGTGTCACACTTTCTCAGATTTACTCCAAGAGGCTGTAGTTCAACAAATCATACAGTTATTTACATTATTTGGACTATTGTCCTCATCTTTGTCGCCATATTCATCACAGCGTTTCGGCCGTTGTACGCTCCGGCCTTCTTCAGGTGGTTGGAATTTCGAACTGAACCCTTTATTTCGCTCACTGGGGTAGACTGTTCTAAAGTAGACTGTTGTAAAGTTGCAATATCAGCTCTGGTAAAAACATGTAATGAAAACAGCAAAAATTGGAATATGAGCACGGGTAAAAATGGTTGCTGAAGACATTAGGTTTATAATACCCAGAAATTCATACCTCAAGGACACATGGCACAGTGGATAAAGGCGTTAGTTAGATCAAGAGACAGAACCCAAAGAGTGTGAGTTCAATACCCGGTTAAGGCAGTGGAGAACTTTCAGAGGGAAATTAGCAGGAGATAACTAATAACTGACATCCATCAAACATGGCACGTGGAACTAGAACAGTCT